CTCTGTTGCTTTCTCTTTCTAGTGAGCACACACACCCTATGGCAAAAAATAAATAAATAAATAAATAAATAAATAAATAAATAAACCTTGATTATTATACAGAATAACTTTATAAAATAAAGTAATCCTTGATTACTCAAAATCCCTTTATTAAATGAGACCTTCATAAGCATATTTAAGGGGTAACCAACTAAATAATTTTTATGTATTTTGATAATACTCCTATCTGATTGGCAGAAAGCATACAGTCTTCTGTGGTATTTTCTGGCAAGCTTAAATTTAAATCTTAAAAGTACAGAATAGTTGCTACCAGAGGGGGTATAATGGTTACATTGCTGGACTCCCACATAGTCAACCAAGGTTCAAGTCTCAGCCCTGACGGCTTAAAACACACCAGGCAAATATGCATGTGTGCCCAAGATCCTGAGGGGAGAATGGAGAAGAAGAGATTGAGGCATGGCCATCACCCCACCCTCAGGGAGAATGATTTCTCACTTTCTGTGTCTCTGTCTCTCTCTGTCTCTCTGCCAAGTGCATGTACCCTATAGCAAAAAAAATCTCACTAAAATAATAAGTCCAGAATAGCATAGTAGAATCCGTTTTTGGTTATGACTTGTAGTAAATTTTATCAACATGTACTATGGTGATTTGTTTCTTTGACTATAATAATGGTGTTTGTGTATTAATACTATTTTTAGATACTCAGCAAAAGTATGTGTATCCATACAACAGTCATTCATCTACTGACATAAATAATGACTTTTAACAAATTCTAATGTCTCAAGCATTTTTAGGGAAATTGTTTCTTGAATCTAGCTCTGTCCTAATTTTGAGAACAGTATGAATTGCTGAGACTCTAGAAGAGCATTGAGAAGACTTTAGTGTCCCCCAAACTGCAGATAGTAAAATGAAAAATTTTCATCACATTACATCTAGTTAGAGTCTAGGTGTTTTGTGCTTCTTTTTGAGTGCTGACTTGGGGCAAAAAGAGTCTGACAACAAGGCAGGTTTCCTAGAACAAAGTGTCCACCTAAGTCTCTGAATTTGTTTAGAATCAATAGCAAGCAAATTTAAAATAAACTGCCTTGACACTAACATCAAAATAGACATGAAATAAACTATTTTTCCATAATTTGTTGCATCGTACATTTAGCAGACAATTCTATTGATGAATGGACACTAGTGAAAAATATATTCCCTCAACGTCACTGTTTAGCATCTTTAATTTATTTTTAGAAGGATAATAGTGAACACATTTCCTCCAAATCACTGTCTGGCATCCTTCGTTAGTTTATTTTTAGAAGTTTACAAATTGAAAGTAGTTTTCAGTTTCTTAGTGTCTTTACCATTCATTATGATGTAATTAGAAAGAGGCAAAAGGTAAAAAATTAATTCAGAAATTATTCTCTAAACACTAGTGGCTTTCATTAATAATTAAATATAGACTGCTGTACCTCAAAAAAATTTTTTTTCACAAATGGAATAAACTCATATTTTGAAGATGGGACTACTAGACCCAGAGGATTTTAATAACTTGCCAAAAGTAAGCCAAAAGTAGAATTCTCATATGCTCAGTCCTAATCTAGTTCTTTTTATACAGTGATCCAGTCTTTGTCTTAATCATTACATTCCTAAAATGAGAGAGTCCTCAGGCTCATCGCCTTGTCAGTATATTTATGAAACTAGGAAAGTTGTTGCTTAATGAGAACAGTGGCCCAGCTATTACATAACATGTTTTATCATTTCATTGCAGTTCTAATCCCATATTCCCTTTAAACCCAGCTCAAGATACCAACTTCCGTGCCACTTTGATGACAGCTAGCCACTGCTACTGTGTTCGCTTAATTTTCTTCAGTGCTTCCTTTCCCAGCTAGACTAGTCCGTAAGTGTCTGTCCCGATCAATGAAGCCGTGCTACTGTGTTCGCTTAATTTTCTTCAGTGCCTCCTTTCCCAGCTAGACTAGTCCGTAGTGCCTGTCCCGATCAATGAAGCCAGTACTCTGCAGCTTGGTGCCTCCAAGAGTCACAGAATGTCAGGACTGAAAGGTACCTAAATGGCTGTCCACCATAGCATTTCTCAGCATAATTATCTCGGAAGCCTGAGGAATGATTCACCCAGAGACCAGTAATGACAGGAAAGAGGAGACAGAAGCCAAATCCCGCTCACAGCTGCAGAGTAGGGGGCCTGAGAAGTATACCACTGTGTGGTCAAAGTTGTCTGTCTGATTCATAGAGCAGGGGAAAACTAGGAGACTGCTCTCCCCTCCTACCTCCCACCCCCAGCTGTCTTCCTTACTACTTTTACATGACAGCTATACTCGTGTGTGCCCTATTTTCCTGTGAGATCATGGGGTTCTTGCCAAGAACACACATTGGGAAAGAACATATTCCCAAGGAGCACATACCCGGTAGTTTCTAGAATTAACTGCCCACCAAAATTACTATCTTCATGCTGGAGATATAGGGATTTTCCCTCTCTTTATTTAATGCACACATTAATGTATCTGTATTCAAATAAGATAACCTTATACATGTTTACAGCCAGGGTATCAGGAACAGAAAGACAACAGAGATCATCATCCCCCAGCATAATACTGGGTGGAGCTTCTTTATGTAATGACTGATCTGCCCCTGATACACACTGGCTGCCCCAGACTTCGCTTGTGTTTTCAGTGACAGTGCTGTCATACCTCCAATGTGACAGTGATGGACACGTTCACTGACTACTACTGATAACACCAGTACCAGCTAACACAGATTGCCAGGCTCTTTTTCTTTTTCTTTTCTTTTCTTTTTTTTTTTTTTTTTTTTTTTGGTTTTACTATAGGGCACATGTGCCCACCAGAGAAAGTGAGAAATCATCCCCTAGGGGAATGGCCATGCCACAATCCCCTCTCCTTCGTTCTCCTCTCAGGATTTTGGGCATGCACCCACACGCGCCTGGCATGAGTTTAAGCCAGGACTTGAACTGCGCTCAACTATGTGGGAGTTCAGCAATGTAACCATTATGCCATCTGCTGGTCCCTGCCAGGCTCTTTCTTACCTGATTCCACATAGTATCTCATTCACTTCTCCCTTCATTTTAGAAATAAGAAAATGGAGATGCAGACAGGTTAACTAACTTGCCTTGGGTCAGATGGGTATTTTTGACAGGGTCTTACCATGGCCATCCTCATGCCCCAGCCTCCCAGTTAGCTAGGATTATAGGTATGCTGTCCCAGAACCAAACATTGGGCCTCCACGTGGCTTCTAGCCTCCCAAGCAGTAGCACTACCTGTGTGCTACTGCTTCTGGGCCCCTGCTCACTTCTTAATGTTAATACTGTCATTAGCTGTAATCAACATATACCTTGATTGGGCATATTATAATTATTTATCACTTCATGTTTATTATATCATGTAATATTCTAATTCTTTATAATTTACCATTTCAGTCTACGTGGCAGGGTTGTAAGTTATTGTGGCAAAGTATTATGTGGAAATACAGTTAGAGAATCATTTCAGAAGATTTCTGAATGTAGAAGATCAAAGAGATGTGTGGTGGAAAACATGTTCATATATTGTTATTTTCAGCTGTTTCCATTTGCACACTAAGTCACAGACAACTTAAGTAACAAATTGTTTTCAAAAAGGAAGAATTCTGAATATCATGTTTCCTCTGGACTTGCAGACAATGTTAACAAATTCAAGCTGACTGTTTTCTTACCTAATAAAGTGTTCAGAAGCACAGTGACACAAAATCCATAAGAAATACATCGCTATTAAATTTTCAGATATTGAGCATTTCTCCAGGGGTTCATTTGCATACTGTTTTCCCATTCATATGTGCTTTAAGTGAGTTCATTTTATTGTCCCAGATGTTAAAACAATTAAAACTGACAAAATCCACACAAAGGGCATTTCTTTGTCAGCAGAGCAAAACCCAGTGCATTTAGGCAGCCGCCTTCATGCAGAACCATCACTTATTGAAAAGATCCCGGGTGTGTTTCCTGTTATTCAAGCAGAAAGTATGTCAGAGACCCTGCAGAACTAATTAAAATAAGGCTTTGTGTGTCTGCGTGTGTCATTGTAGGCCAAAGGTAAAGAAAGACAGTGGTTAAGACACCAAGCTACAGGGGAACTAGATGATGCCAAGATCATCGATGGGCTGACTGGAGAAAAAGCCATCTACAAACGCCGGGGTGAACTGGAGCCACAAGTAAGTAATGGTGAACTAGTAGTTTCTGATCTGTGGTGTTCGGCCTTCTCTACAGAAACCTGCTTTCTTAAGTCGTGTCAAAACGCCATAAACCCTGAATATGACAACCAAAGAAAGCAGTAGGTAAATGATAATAATAATAAGGAAAAAGAATAATGCACATTACAGCCAGGGTATCAGGAACAGAAAGACAACAGAGATCATCATCCCCCAGCATAATACTGGGTGGAGCTTCTTTGTGTAATATACTGTTCTATTTATAATATAAGTCAAGGTCCCAGAGGAAACATAAGGCACACTCAAATTGAGTAATTTAATACAAAGACTGTTTATAAAGGTAAGGGTGGGGGGTTAGGAAAACCAAAATAATAATAATAATAATAATAATATTGCAATAGCCCAGGGCTAGCAATAGCAGGAATCTAAGTCACCCCTAGATCTAAATGAGCAAGATAGCAATTATTGGAACCTGGAGGAGGTTGTTTGTGGTGCTGTGGCCTTCAGAAGAGAGCCAGCACTCAGGCGACAGCAGACAGGGAACAAGTACCCAACCTCACGTCTGGTCTCCAGCCGTAACTCCCTTCAGCACAGCCCACTGGAAGCCCACAGTCAGTGAGCAGCTCCCAGGACAGTGCTCTTGGGGGACATTGAAGGCACCCAGAATGTCTGTTTAACCAGAGGATTCTTTAAGCAAAAACAATAGCACAGTCTGGGTGGTTTTCTACTGCTCTGTTACTTTCAAGATCTGTTCCATCAATTAACTGAGAAAAAAATTTTAAAATAAGGAGTTCTCCATTAAATAACTCTAATAATAGTACGTAAAGTTTGCATAGCCATGATTTTTCAGTATTTGCAGTAAAATGGCCAAAAAAAAAAAAAAGGAAAAAATTAAAAAAGGCAGGAGGGTAAAATACTGAGTCTCCTGAAATGCTCTGAGATTTCTTATATCCCTAAATAACCAAATTGGCTAAATAGCCAGAGGGAGCTGGGGTGCAGTGACTGGAGGGGCAAGGGAGAGTCGCTCCACTGAAATGTTTATTCAGAGAAGGTCTGGCGGTAATCTGGGGAGTTCTTATTTCTGTGTCATTGATATGAGTCAACAAGTGCTTGCTTCACTGACTCACTGTGGTCAACAAATGCGTTTGGATACTTCTGAAATTGCAAGTAGTCATGGAAGCATATATGGCAGCATTCTTCACTGGGCAGACTCAACCAGTTTTAAAAAATGTTAAATTCACCTCAAACCATGACACACTAAAACCCACAGTATTTTCTTGAAATTACTAATTCTGCTGCTTACTAGTTTTCAAACATGTCATCAAGTACATAATTACAGACAACTCTGGATGTTTTTCTTTCTTTTTTTGGTCAGTAGAACTGACAAATTTTTTTATTATGCAAATTGACAGACTTGGGTCCAAAATCAAAGTGAATCTCATTAATTTACACATTTGGATCAACTGTAGTTTCTAAACAGCAGTTAGATGACACTTTCATGCTTTTAACTGCCAAGAAAAGGGAACTGGTAGTGCAGTACTAAGGAAGAGAAGAAAAGTGTACTAAGGACAAAAGACTGGTTTTTTTTTTAAGTTCCTTGCCAGACACCCTCTCAAATAACCTTGCTTTACGAATCTGGCATTTCTTAGCCTGGAAAATGATTTTCAGGTCACTACACAACAGGTACACATAAAGTTGTGATTTTCCCTCCAAAACAGCCCAAACTCTTGATAAAATTGTTCATTTTGAGGCATGAAGTAAAAAAATGACATGCTGGGGTTTATCTTTCCACATTATTATTTTTAAGACATCCTATTTTTTTTCAAGGCATCAATTTCCATAAGACAACTTTACTAGACAAGAGTGGGCTTTGAAAAGACTGTATTCCAAAAGAAAATCTTTTCCATATGGCCCCAAATACCAGAACAAGTCTTAAATTCCATTTCCTGAAATCTACTCGGTAGTAGACACTTTTCCGCCTGCCTGGACGTCCTTGTACAGTGCCCAGCCTGATCTGCCCATCTCATGGCTGGCACTCTGGGAGACTTCCGACTCAGTAGCTAGCAGTGATTTTTCTGGTTCACGAGCTGTTTCTGTTTTTCTTTCCCTCAGCTGGGCAGCCCGCAACAAAAACCCAAGCGTCTGCGCCTGGTGGTAGATGTGTCCGGTAGCATGTACCGCTTCAATGGGGTGGATGGCAGGCTTGAGCGCTCCATGGAGGCCGTGTGTATGGTCATGGAAGCCTTTGAGAACTATGAGGAGAAATTCAAGGTAATGTCATGAACCAAGAGTGACAAGAGGCATTGTTGATGACAATCTTCCCAGTGTCTGCCCTCAGTTATTGGGGTCCGATGATAAATAAGTAGATGTAGACTCTATCCAGGACAAAGTCTTCATCCTGTCACCAGCTCTTTTATCAGAGAAAGTGAACCTTTTGTTTCATCTGCCCTAATAAACAGAAAATAATACCATAATTTGAAGGAACAATTACTACAGAAGAAGGCACTGCACTTTATAACTTGTATGATGTTAGACATCATGTTAGCTGGAGGAAAGCCACTAAGAAAGTCTGTTCCCAGTAGCACAGAGGGTAAGTGTTTTGCAAAGAGAACGGGGTCCCACATAGCTGACTGTGGTTCGAATCCTGGCCTTGGGAGCTTAAAAAACACACCAGGCATATCCACAGGCAAGTCCAAAATTCTGGTGGGATAGAGAGATGGAGGGAAATTGATTGCAGCACGAAGTACTCCCTTGGGGGTACTTTCTCTTTTTCCTTCTTTTTCTGTCTGGTGAGCACACACCCTCTGATAATTAAAACAAACAAACGAAATAAAGTCACCTACTTGTAGATTTCTCAGTGCATCCTGTCTTCATCCTAAGTCCCTATATCCACCCACTTTGCCTCCTCACCAACCAGACAGCCTTCCAAGTTTAACTACATTCTCAGAGCATGCTCTTCTCAGCATTCTTTTGCTTTTCCATGTAGACAAGGATTATACAGTAATATCATTTTCTGGGAGAAAAGCAGTCTCCCATTTAAACTATTAGGTTGTTAGGAAAGCATGAAAAATACATCATGACTTTCCCAACAACCTAATTATTTCCATTTTTCTATTGTTCAATTTGCTGTGCACCTTCCATTTCAGAGGTCTGAGCATGGAGACAGAGTTCGCATGCTATTGAGTTGTTACTTGTATGAGCTTATTAATCTGCTCTTAATCAGCCATAGAGAATACCCACATTCTGACCCTTTCCAGAGCAAATAATCTTGAACACTATTAAGAGTCCAGTGGTGGCCAAACAGGTGGTGTAGCAGCAGGCTCCCACATGGCCGACTGTGTGATTTGAGTCTCCCACCTGGTGACTTGAAAAACATGCCAGGCATGTGTGCATGCATGCCCAAAATTCTAAGAGGAGAACAGACGAGGAGGGATTGTGGCATGGTCATCCCCCCTAGGGTGCTTTCTCACTTTCTCTCTGCCTCTCTCTCTTTCTGTATCTCTGGCAAATGTACGCACCCTAAGAAAATTTTTAAAGAAGTAGTTCAGTTGAGAGAAATTATATATGTACAGCTACGTGTAAAAGATACAGAGTTCATCCATGTATACCCTAGATTTTATTCTGAATCAGAAAAAGGCAGTCTTAGACCATTATTTAGCTTGATGTCATACCTGCCTCTCAGGATTGCTTCCCCGAGCCATGTCTCTGTGTTATGATACCTACAAGAAACAAACTAATGAAACTTATCTCTTCGTTTACTATAGGCTCACTATTAAGGATACTGCCCGAATACTTTGTGTGAAACTCTACAGGAGAAATTCCTTTTAGAATTTAGTGGTAGGAAAAGACAGCTTTACTCCATGAATGCCCTGGGTTGCCAGGCTCTGCACAAGTGCAGAATTCAAACGTAATCAGACATGGACTTTCACCAAGGCGAGTAGCTGTATTTCCCTTGAAGAATTAGAATGTGCTTTATGTGTTTCCCCCTGTGATTGGTGAAAACCATGGAACTGTTCAAGATTCCTTCTTGGCTGTAGTTACCAGAAAGCTGAGAGCCAAAAATCAAAGAGCAGTATGACATCCTTGTTATAGCTTCTAGCTTGGGGGCTAGTACTCAGCTTTCCTCCCCTTGACCCTCCTTCCCTACAGATATAAATTTTTCTTGATTTTTACTTTTACTTTTTTTTTTAATGTTTTAAGGATTTATAGGAATTTGTCTGTTTGTTTGTTTGTTTGATTATGTTTTGCCAGATGGTATATGTGCTCAACAGAAATACAGGAAGTCAGAGAGGAGAAGGAGAAAGCACCTCCCAGTGGGGCATGATCCACCATAGCCTCTTCTCTGTTTCTCTGTTCTGTTGAGACTTGGGGCATGCACACACATACACACAGCATGTTTTTCCAGCCAATGGGTCCAGAACTCAAACCAGGTCAACCTTGTGGGATCCACTCCCCTACCACTGGGCCACAGTGCCAACCCTCACTTCATGTTTCAAAACCTTTGGGTTCTGCTGATAATTGGATCAGCCCACCTGCCTCTCTCTGTTTCTCCACTCTCAGCTCTAAGGAGATTTTTAACCCATTATAGGTCATGACAAATCTGCCACTATTAAAATTGGCAAATTTTTATATTTACCTAGGATACATTTTCCAGTTAGAAAGGATTTCTACATCTCTGAGAGCAGAAGTGCTCTGACATGTGAAACTACTTCTTTCAGGCTTTTTAAAAGATTTATTAAGAGTTTACAAAAAAAAAAAAGGCTGAGACAGCTCCCTAAAACTAGGTAACAAATGAGACAGAGGTCAGAAACAGAAAGTGGCAAACCTGGTATTTGGCTCTTCCCTTCCCTCCACCCTCAGAGAGCCATTTCTGATACTTCCAAGTGGATGATGTGATTATCACAAGTGGGATCAGTCTTCATCGTAACTCAGTACAGTGTGTAGGTTTCTATTTGCCCAGTTCCCATTATAGTAGTCTGTAGCTGAAAGAGAATCCAGACCACTTTTGTAGAATGTCCCTTATTCTGATTTTATCTAGTTATTTTTTTCACGGTGCTATTTACCTTGACCCAGTATCCTCTCTATTTCCAGGCCTCCTAACTGGCCTTCCCTCCACAGTGGGCACATTGGAGACCTTTTATCTCTTCCTCCCTTCCCTGCCAATGTGTCTCTAGCAGAGACTGAGCAGTCCCTGCTAGGAGAGAGCCCCAGGCTGCTGCTTCTATAGAGGGCAGAAAGGAGGTGGAATGGAGCTCCTTACCTTCTGTGCGAGCTTTTTCTGTTTACCATGTAATATTGATGCTTTAGGGTATAAGTGACGAGCGCACATAGTACCAAAATGTAAAGGTTCAAAGGAGTCAGAAAGAAGAGTAAGCCTCTGCCCAGCTTCCCTCTCCCGCGGCTGCCGTTATTAGTGGATTTTTTCAGTCTTCTGTCAGAAGTGTTTGATGCATATACATCAGGGCATATACATGCGCTCTGTCCTGTACCCTTATGTGAAGGGATCATACTCACCTCAGTTCATCTCGCTGTACTTCCATGTTCTCATTTGTAAAGGAGGCATAAGGACTAGAATGAACTAAGAAAAATATGTAACTTACACAGAATATATGAAATGATGCATGAGCAGACAACAATTTGAGAAGCTCCTCGCAAAAAATTTATATTCCATAACTCAGGCTGGCCTCACACACAGGATCTTTGGGAATTTAGCCATATGATGTGAGACTCCCCATACCCCAATTCCAGACGGTTCTTAATGTCATCTTCCTACAGTTATCCCTTCATTGTAAAGGTGTCTAGTCCGTATTTGCTTTGAAGCCTTCAGAAGCCACTGGCCTGGTCTAGCCATCTTCCCTGTCTGCCCTGGCATCTGCTCGGTGTTTAGTTTGGCTGGGTCTCAGCTCCTGAGCACGAGTCATTACCGTCCAGGTTCAGGAGGCTCATTTGGAGTCCGCCTCTCCTTTTTATTCCACATTAACATGACTCATGCCAAACCACAGGGACCCTCGAGCAAGAATTGCTGAAAAGGAAAGGTAATTCAGTGGCAGGACACATGTCTAAGCCGTTGGAGTTCTCAAAGTTGCTCGACATCGTTCTGCCAACTGAACTCGGTGAGTCCTTAGAATAGCATTCGTGATTGGTCACTTACAGGAGCAACACTATTTGCTTATACTCAGCACCCTCTCTAATCTTATACTCAGCATAATTCCAGTGATCATGTACCCCTGAACGGAGACGCAAGGCAGGTCGTAATGGTTATGTGAGCTGTTTCGTTTCAGTCAGGAAGCATCTTTTCCCTTTACCGTCATTCTCATTGGTTCCTTGTGATTCCTCCAAGCCCCTGGGAATGCTTTCACTATAATCTTAAATAAGCCTCCTTTTCAAAAGCTCTTGATGCCTTCATTTTTTTTCTTCAAAGTACTCAATAACACCAACAGGTCATTATTTCTCCACCAAACAAACAAAGAGTGTCACCCAAAAACAGATGTTTTTTTCCAGTATGTAGGAATTGAAATTTGAGCCAAAAGGGACTCAAATGTCTTGTTCCTGTGAACGCACGTAAACCATATTCTAAGACAGAGGTTTTTTGGTTTGTTTTTTTTTATCTTTTTTTTTTTATTATTATAAATTTTTTTTTCTCATCACAACACACATATGAATTTTCCATCCAAAATACACTGTGCATTGGCTCAATCAAGCACATCAACATACATGTTCTCGGCAGATGATTTCCCAATTCCCGTGTCCTGCATACCTTGCCTTTTGTTTTGCCATCCTAGATTCCCCATCCCCACCCTCTGCCATGTCCCATCTTCCTCCTCCATTGTCCCTAACATTCATGATTGCCCTCAATGCCTTCCGCCCCCCCCATTCAATTGTTCTACCAATGAACTCAATTAGTC